GAGCCCTGATAACACCCTCGGAGCGGCCAGGCCTCGTTCTGCCCCCAGGGCTCGCCCACCGCCAGGAGCGCTTGGACAGGAAGACACACGACGGCACAGACTCCCACCTCCCGGGGCAGACACCATGAGGGGCTTCCTCCCTCCCAGGCTGCCTGGCACCGGAGGAGGGGGGACAGGCCCCACGGGCTAGCATCCGCTCTGGGGCGTCGTGGTCCTGGCCAGGCCGGGCTTCGCACACAAGGCTAAAGGAAGGATGGAGCACGTGGTCAGCCACACAAAGGGGTGCTGCCGACCCCCAGCACACACGTCATCTACCCAGATGCCACCTCCTGATGCCCGTCTTGGGACTTACCCAAGTCAGCAAAAGGGGAACTGCTGTCCCAAAACACGACATTTCCAACAGCAGAGTCTCCTCCACGCTGTCCCAACTCCTCCGGGAACTCAAAATCGTCCCCCTGGGGATTCCGTGCAGAGAACAAGCCTCCCCAGGCCCTGCCTCTCGCGAGCGACAGCACTTCTGAGGCAGCCAGACCGCACAGCCCCGCTCTGAGCTGAGCTGTCCCAGCAGGTCAGACAGCGGTTCCCAAATCCGGCTGCACACAGGAAGCCCCGTGAGCTTTCTAACTGAGTGAGTCGGGGTGCCTCCCACCACAGATGCAGCCTTGTGAGGGGTCCAGGCACCTCTGTCACTCACCCTGTCCCCACAGCACCCTGCCGTGTCACCAGGACTGGAAAGCAGGGCCGGGTCCCAGGACTGCGGGACTGCTAGGCAGGTGGGGGACCACAGTGAAAGCTCAACCAGCTTAATGAAGGGACCCCGAGGATCAAACCATCACTCATTTTTTGGTAATCTTAAACAACACAGAAAGAGGTTTTCGTGTTTTGAGGTGCTCTGGCCAAAAGTGGGCAATGAGGACACAGCTCCTGCAGCCCCTGTGCACACCCCACCCTAGAGGCCCCCACGCCATGGCTCCCACCCGAGGCCTGTGTGTCATGTGCTCTGCTCCCCCTCCCCAACTCTGCAGACACCCTGATACACGTTCAGCCTGAAGACACACCCTCACCCCCACCCAGATGCCAATTTCTCAGATCCCAGAATGAACTTGGTCTGGGGCCACAGGTCTCCTGGGGCAGCATGTTTACCCCAAGGGAACAGTGTCCTGGGCAGGGGTGGTGACCCCACTGGGAACCCCGGCCTCACGTGACCAGGATTCTGGGGAGCACCCTTGCCCGGCAGATCCCACAGCCCCACTCTGATTCAGTGCCTTTGGCAAAAATGGCTCCCTCCCCGCACCGCCGGCAAGAGGTGGAGATCCTGGGGAGTCGCGGCCAGAGGGAATCCACGGAGACATGGGAGAGACACAGCCTCATCAACAGTCACTTTGTTCTTCAGGCCGCGATGGCCTGCCTACCTTCCCACCTGCCCTCACGTCACTGCCATCTCAGGCCCCATCACAGGGCACGGAGAGTCGGTCACCCCACGGCTGGCCCATGCCGGGCTCAGTGAGGTGACCTGCAGAACCCAGGATCCTGGGCCGTCTAACACCACTACAGAAACCTGGCCCCTACTTCACGTAGATTTCTTAAATAGAAGCTATGAAACCTGTCCTAAGCCAAAATGGTGCAAAGCAAAGAAGCAATCACTGTTAATTTATATGGAAAAATTGTTGAGCGTTTCCAGAACCCCCCAAAACCTGAGGCTTTTCTGATACCTTAGAATACATCTTGCTAACAGATGCACAAAATAAATCGAGATAAAGCAGAGACAGACGTTCAGACACAAATGCGTACAAACCTGGAGCTTTGCAGGGAAGTTACTGCTTTAAGGAACCGCATGATGGATTTTAAGTGGACAACTGTGTTACATTGTATCTATTTATGCTCTGATTCTTCACTTGATACACCAAAACTTTTACTAAACCAAAAACCACCCCCCCCCCCAATGCCTGTGACAGAAATCCACACGCTCACAGGGATAGTTAGGGAAAGTGAGATGAGGTGCAGAGGGTGTGAGCCTGCCGCCCGCCAGCGTGCCCTTGTTACCCACACAGCAAGCAGGGAAGCGGGAGTGAGGGAGGCCCACGCGTCACCCACTCACCCACAACGCCTGGACCCTGCGCTGCTTTAGATACACTCCAGGGGCGACATTCTAGGGGGAGAAAAGAAACGCGCAGGAGGTGGTAATGTAGGGGCAGGGTCAGAAGCGGGGCTGCAGCGAGGAGCGCAGTGCCCTCGGGCCTCAGGGCTGTGGGCAGACTTATTGGAAGAGACGCCGGGGCATGGGAAGGTGAGGGGGACAGAGGCAAGCAAGGGGGCGTGCACCACCCTTGGGGACGACGCCTGGGTTAGCGGGTTGTGAGGGTACCAGGTCCAGGTTAGCTGGGTGGGTCGGGGGGAGATCAGGCCTGGGTTGGGGGGTGGGGGGCAGTGCTTCCTTCCTGTTCTTTCTTTGTGGTTCCTGGGTCTGTGGTTTGGGGAAGAAAAGGCCTGGTTGGTCTCATACTGCTGCCCCAAAGGACATCCCTGCCACACCGACCGGGGCACTTATGTCACTCCCAAATCAGGAGCTGGGGCAGGGGGACTTGCGCAATGTCCACCAGCGTCGGCCATCAGCCACTGGGGCTCCAAGTCAGGGTGCGGCGGCCTCTCCCTCTGTTTAAAGGGCACCTGGAAGCTTAGGTCTCCAGAGCTCTGCCCCTGCCTCTTTCTGCCTATGCAGCTAAGGCGAGGACTGGGGGACCCCTGGCAGCATGGCTGTGGCTCCTGGGAAAGTCCGAAGAAAGCCTGGCTGGAGCCGAAGGGCTGTGCTGGGGAGGCGAGAGCAGGGCACCGTCTTTGCTGTGTCGAGTGCCCCCGGTCCTTGGAAGTCCTCCAAGGGGATGGAGGATTTGGGGAGGCGAGCAGTTTGCATTCTGCAGGGACCCCACTGTGCTGTGGCCCCTGTCAGGATGCTCCCTGCTGAGCAGCCCCACAGCCTCAGGTGACCCCCTTCCCCCAGCCCATTCATCCAGGCCACAGCAGCCATCCGGTCAGGGTTGGGGAGAACAGGGCCCTGGGTCAGAGCCCTGCCAAGAAGGGGCGTGTGCATGGGGGGCGGGGATCATTCATCAGGCCTGCCGGGAGGCCTTTATGTCTAGAATGTGGACAGTGCCCTAGACTGCTGCCCTGAAAGGCATCTTCAAGCTGCAGATTCTCTGTTCCCCTAAAACCTCCTGGGATCCTGCAGCTCCGAAACAAAACACAAACAATGAAGGCAGAGCTGTGGCAGCTGAAGGAGCGGAGAGAAGGCCCAGAGCCCTCTCAGAGCTGTGCCCTGGGCTCTTGGGACAGGTCCGAAGTGACCACCTCGGCCCGAGGGCCTCCACCTCTGTTGTTTTGTCAATGGCCACTCCTTCTCTAAACTCCCCTACAATCGGCTGTCAGCAAACAGGCTCACTGGGTCATACACTGTGAGTTCCTTCTGGACTGAAACTCTAGCAGGAGCAAGAGAAGAAAGGGTCCCCTTCTTCACGCTCTGTCTTCCTGGGGGAGGTGTCCGTGTTGGCTGTGACGTCGCCAGTGTGTGCTGGGCACTCCTGCACGTCCCTGGGGCAGGGCTCACACTGGTCCTCTTTCTCAGAGAACAAGACTGAGGGACAGAGAGGTGGAAGGCTGTCTGGGCTGTGCTGCTCTCAAGAGCCTGCCCCCAGAGCCTCCTCCTTCCCACTCCCAACATCACCTGTGGACTAAGGCTCTGGGCTACGAGGGGTGGACGAGCCTAAGGGAGGCAGGAAGGTGGACGCTGCTGGACGCTGGAGACCAAGGACCCTGGCTTTCTGGGGCCCCTTCGTGAGGCAATGCAAGCTCTGAGCTGCTGGGCAGGGAACCTGGGTGCTCTTCCCAACAGGCCCTCCGATGGGCCAGGAGACTTCCAGCAGCTGTAGTACTAGGTAAGCGCTGCCTGGAGCGCGACCTCGGTCTCCTCCGGCTGGGGATGGTCCACCCTGTGGGACGGGCCCTGCACAGCCACCAACCGGCCTCAGGGGTGTCCTGGGCTCTTTGCTTTGGCAATCTGGCCATTTGGTGTTTTGAGAACTAGTATGACGTGACCTCAACATTCTCTTTTCAACCTTTTCCCTGTGAATAAAAGCTCTAATCATCACATAAGTTATAGCGAAAATCAACAAAAATCTCAGGTCTCTTTCAAAGAGACAGTTCCCTGTGGAGGAAACAGTCAGCCAGCTGTGCAGGGTGGTGCCTCCCAGGACACATGCCCGGCAGCCCTCACCAAGGGCGGTCTGTGCAGCACCCGGCCTCGACCAAGACAGATGGGAAACTGAGGCTCGCTGAGTGTCCTGCGGCAGGTCGGCACCTGACCAGGTCTGTCTTCCCTGCAAAGCAGAATCCTCATCACTGCGCTCTGCTCAGCGGTGGGCCAACCCTGCTGGCCTGGCTGGGTGGGGAAGGTACAGCAAGCTGCAGAGATGCGCACATCGGGGACCGACAAAGGGCCCCCAGCTGGACCTCCCGCTCCAGAACAAAGGAAAGCTGGTGTGCTTGGCTGAGCAACGGACCTAAAACGTCCTGTTCTAATCCACATGGATATGTCACCTCACGTGGCAAAAGGGACTTTGCAGATGGGGTTAAGGCTTTTGAGAAAGGAGGGGACCCTGGACACGCAGGTGGACCTGATGTGATCACAGGGTCCACAGGAGGCAGGCAGAGCCTAGGGTGAGGCGGCCGCAACGCAAGGGCGCTGTGTGGCTAGATGTCAGAAGCAGCAGGAATCAGCCTCGCCGGACGCAGGTAGCCCCGCCCACACCCTGACTTTCACTCCACAGGACGGCCTTCTGACATCACGACTGTCGGAGAATCAGCTGTGTTGTTTCAAGCCTCTCCAGTCTGGGATCATTTGTTACAGCAGCAACAGAGAACCTGCATAGCTGGCAAAGTCCACACTGCAGAGGAAGGCGCCACGGGCACCCAAATCCAGCCATGGCGAGAGTCTGTCCCCAACTTACCAGCTGTGCGCTGAACTCGGGGAGCATCACACAGGTGGCCCCCACCCAGAGGGGACAGAGCAGCTTGTTGACGACGCCGTGCACGTGGTGAAGCGGGAGGATGTGGAGGATCACATCGTCTTTACTCCATGCCCACTTGTGGACCAGCCCCGTCACCTGTGGGATGACAGGACAGCCTCAGACGGGAGGGAAGCCACCAGGCCAGCGAAGCCTCCCCAGCTGGGAAGGGGCGCGGGGAGGCTCACGCTCTGGCGCCCGGCCCTTCAGGGCATCTGAGGGGGATGGTGGCCATGTGCCCGAGGGTCTGTTGGCTCCCTTGCAGACCCCCACGTCCAAGAACAGAGCTGGACAAGGTCAGGGCTTTGGTGTGGGGGGCGTCCCAAGTCCTCCGCACGTGCTCTTGGTGGCTCTTCCCCCAGGCAGTCAGAAGCGTGGTTTTGGCTCCAGCGGGCCCTGGGATTCTGGGCATCCGCAGAGTCCAGGCCTGAATCCGAACGCCCGCCCTGCTCTGCCTGCCTGATTCTGGAACCTCCCTCACCGCAGCTGAACGGTCGGTCACAGGACCTGGGGCCGGGTTTCTGCCACATCCTGAGCTTTGAGTAAGAAGCACCATGAAACACGCCCATTGGAATCTTCTGAAAATCACCAGTGAGGACGCTGCCCGCGTGCCCCTGTGAACGCTACGGGCAAACACACGTGACGTACGCACCCCCTTGCAGGTACCAGTCAACAGATGGTCTCTCCAGACAAAAAGTACCTTGCAGGAGACAAAGAAAACCTATCAATGACGCCGTGCCTGCAGTCAGCCTGGACTCAGTTTACCCCTGAGACTCAATGGCACTGACCTCACACCTCATCTCTGAGGTTCTGAGCATCTCTCTTATTGCTCCTAGCGTACGAGAGTCTGGATCGTACACACACATATTTTTTGGAAGCAGGGAGGGCATAAATGACAGGTAAATAAACTAGCTGGGGAGCTTGGCTGAGATGCTGAGGCCACAGAACATGAAAATGGTGCCCAAACGTAGGCTCCGAGGCCTGTGCTCGGGTTTCCCAGTGCTGACCATACATCCTGAATGTTCGCTCCGCAGCTGCTCACCATTGTGTATGGGCCACTCTGTCCTTCACTGGCTGCACGGCCCTGAGGGGCCCTCGGTGGGCCCCTAAGTCCTTCTTAGCCTGAGGGACCACCCCCGCCTTTCCCAGAGCCATCCCCCGCGGGTTCGCAGGACTAGTGGTCACTTCTGGCGGCAGGCTTCTGGGAGGGCGGGCAGAACAGTGGCAGCTCGGGGCGGCTGCCTAGGAAAGGCAAGACAGGCCACCCCCAGAGGCCCCAGCACAGCAGCACACGAGCACTCACCATGGCCCTGATGTTGTGGTGAGTGCTCAGGACACCCTTGGGCCTCCCTGTGGTCCCGCTGGTGTAGATGATCATGGCGCCTCGGTCTCTCCAGTTCCGCTCCCACACCTCCCACTCCCCAGGCTCCTCGGTCGCCGCACCGTAGACCGTGGGCGGGAGAGGCAGCAATGGGACCCCCAGCTTCCTGACCAGTGGGCGCAGGAGCTCCACGTACTCCTGGCCGGCAAGGACCACAGAGCTCCGGGAGTCCCGGATAAAATACTCCAGCTCAGCTTGGGGGTGCTTCCTGTATAGGGGGACAGCAATGCCTCCGCTCATCCACGAGGCCCACTGTGCGACCACGTAGGAGACATCGTTGGAGCACATGAAGGAGACCCTCTCCTCCTGGAGGTCCCTGCCAGTGCACTTGAGGAGATGGCACACCTCCTGGGACAGGCGGAGGCTGTGGTAGTAAAGATCCTTGTACGTGTGGTGGCCATGCTGGTCAACGAGAGCAATCCTGTCTGCAAAGGCCAGGGCGCGGGTGAACACAGGGGCACTCCTGTCAGAACAGGTGGCTGGGGCCGTGTGCAGGGGGCACCTTCCTCCGCATCTCAAGGGGGCGGGCCGGTGGGAGGCCACGGCACAGAGCAGGCGCCGGAAGGACATCACTGGGTGGGGCAGCATCGCGGACACACGTCCAGCTCAATGTACCTGGGGCAGAGCTGGAAGAGAGAGGAGCGCCAGTTACTGCCACCGATCTGTTCTCACCTCCCGGCCAGACAGAGCCTGCCCGACCTCATTTACAAGGTAACCTCCCCACACAGGAGGCCCTACACACCATACAGCACCGTCCGGATTTACCGTCCAACATTCCAGCTTTTATCTACTCTCAGCAACAGATTTCAAAAATATACAAGATTCTAAAACAATGAAACTCGATAAAACCAAGGAAAAGCAAATTCAGTGCCCTTAAAGTAAATTCTGAAGAATGGTTTTTTAAAAAATCTGAGCTGGAAAATCACTAGCCAAGAGGGGAAAGCCCTGAGGGCTGCTGAGCACCCATTCTCTGTCCATCCGGCACTCGCAGCTCAGTACACGGCCCGCTTCTGCTCCGTGCACTTCCGACAGGGAAAGCGTTTGGGAACACAGTGGCATGCAGAGTCTCAAAGTGCGTGTACGCATCTCCGGGGTGTCAGTCTGGCTTTAAACTGAATCCTGACTCCTCCCTCCCTCTGCGAAGGGTGAGCCAGGCAGGGCCAGGCAGCGTCCTGCCGCGGGTCTGGCTCCATGCCCATGTCCTGCTGCAGGACAGTGCCTCACGGGGAGAGCCGTGGGCGTCGGCACTTAACAGGGACGGGTGCACACTTCCAAGATTGCTTCTGCAGGGACAGCTTAATTCCAGAGGCCAGGAGCCCGCCTGCTACCCTGGACTCTGCCCCCAGCGTAACCAGCAGGCTCCTTCCTAGAGCCAGGGCGGCCCACAGGGTCAGTAACAACCCTTCGCTCTGGTTTGAAATCCCCCGTTCCACAGTTCCTTCAGGGGTTGCTCTTCCCCACCGTTGCCTCTGGTGCTCAGGGGGTAACTGCCTCCCTCCCTGGGCACAGCGCCGGGGCCTCAGCACCTTTCTGGGCTCCGTGACTCACTTGTCCCCGGGGATTTCTAAGGAGACCACTCGACACTGACGGTGAAAATGCACCTCGCATGCTACGACGTGTTTGTGCCTCTCAACCTCACCTTCAAGCACCCTGTTCAGGAAACAAGGGCACCACCTTCGACCCTATCTCACACAGAAGAAAATTCAAGGCTGCTCAGCCCCCAAGTCCCAGACAGAGCTCAGCCTGGGCCTTCCCTCCCCCAGCCAAGCACAGCAGAGCCGGCAGCTGCATCTGCCCATGGACTGCATGCCCGCCGCTCCCACGGGGGCCAGGCACAGGGACCCCAGAGGGCACCTCTGAATGCTACCAGCTGACAGGACGCCTGCCCGCCAACAACACAGCAAAACAGAGGCCATAAGTCTTCTTTCCGACAGGCCCAGCAGAACAGAGACGCGCAGGAATGACCTGGGCAGGGGGGCGGGGGGCCAGGCACCTCTGCTGCCTCCTTCCCGCTCCATCTCCCAAGCCCTCCCCCTGCTCAGATCCACACTCTTCTCTCTCCCAGTAACTTGCTACAGGGGAAAACTAATGTGTTATTGCTTGTTATGAGCACTAAACAGTTTTGTTCTCTGTTCTTAATTTAAGAACAGATTATACACAGTACTTTATAACTACCTAACAAAACAAACAAGCTGCACGGCAGGAAGGATTGCTGGAATGGGGTTACGCCTGGAACGGGAGCCCCTCAGCGTGCTGGCTGTGGTGCAGCGGGGGCTCCGCACAGTCCCCCTCCGCAGACCAGCAGGGAGAAGCTCCGGCGCCGGCCACATGGGGGGAGACCCCGCAGCCGCTGAGGACCTTCTCAGCTGCAGCTGTTTGCTCCGAGGTCCTGTGCGAATATTCCTCAACATTCCACAGCCTCCACCGAATGGTCGGTTCTCAAATGCACCAGACCCGCACTGTTTCCAGGCGCAAGAGGCAGTCATCAAAAGCCGCAGCGTCCTACAACTTCTGCGTCCTTGTCCCGACCCCTACGCAGGGTTCAGAGGTGGATCTGGGGCTGGCTCCACACCTCCGGACTTCTGTTACCATAAAGAAACCTGACACACGTAAGGAAACAGGAAACGTGATAAGCACGTCAGATATGCCAGATTTGGAAAGGAGAGCCGCTGAAGAGCAAACCCGCATAGCCGAGACACGTTTCCTGTCCTCCCTTCTCCAGATCCTCCTGTTTGCTCTTCCGGCGGTGGGAAAACAAAACAAAACAAAGAGAGCCAGCAAACAGAAAACTTGCTACACGGCATTTCTGGCCAGACTCTTGCTGGGGAGAGTACAAGACAGACGTTCTGGGATGCTTGCTGGAGGGGACACCATTCTCCGGGGCGCGAAGGGACAGGGCACCCTGGTAGCCGGACACAGCTGCTTCTTCCACCCCTGTCCCGGGAGGCATGAGAGGTGGTGCCAGACCCACAGCTACAGAAATCGATGCCACTCTCCTTTCATCCACACCCACGTCCACGTCTCCCCCACAAGGGGTCTCCCCTCCAGGGTCTCAAAGAGCAGACACCTCCTGCCTCCCTCAGTGGGAGAGGGGAACGCACTGCCTGCTTCTCCAGGGACAGCAGCATCCTGAGCCAGACCGTGGCAGTGAGAAGCTGGAGCCCGAGCACTTGCAACACAGAACAGGCAAGCAGGGCTGACCCCACCTTCCTCCCCTGCGGGGCCTCGATGGCCTCCATAGCAGGGCTGTGGGTGGACGCCGCAAGAGGCAGTCGCAACAACAGCCCCCAGGGAACCCGAGAGAGGAAGTCCCCTGCCTGAGACCTCAAAACAGCAGGAGAAGCAGTGATCCAAGCCCAGGCCTGGCTGGTCCCCCCACACCCCCAATTCGGCCATAGGACAAGCGGTGAGGAGCGTCCACAATGGGGGGTTGCCCAGAGACACTGACATCTGAGTTAACTCCACAGGCCCCAGCAGCCACAACCCAGGCTGCCCCCAGGACCTGAGGGTGGCCCCTCTGGCTAGGCGGGCCCCAGGGCATCAACTCAGCCCTCCAAAAGGGTAATTCAGCGTCACTTCCAAGATGGGACAAAAAACTCCAGAAAATACACAAGCTTTGTTCCCATGGCTATTCTCTTTAAAACGTGTCTTCAGAAAACAATCAGAGACGCACAGAGGGGATGCTCACAATGGCGTTATTTATGATACTGAAAACTGGGTCTAAACCAAAGGGTCCAGACGGGGTCTGTGGCGGTCAGCCGTGGAGGGCGTGTGCTGGCCATTAGGTAGCGTCCTGCAAGACCACCAAGGACGGGAAGGTAAACACCCAGGTGTTCATAAGGTTACAGGGATGCAGATGATACCTGTCTTTTCTTAGCACTTCCCAATTTTCTCCCAATTTTTCTGCAATGAGCATGTATGACTTTTACGATCAGTCTTTTTAAAAGCCTAATACATGTCATTTGTTTTTTAAAACTGGAGATGCTTCAACTTCGGTATTAGTATTTTCTTTTACACACAAAAAACAAAACCATAAAAAATTTTGTTCTGGATGGTGGATCTACAGGGGGTTTTAAAGTATCTGTAGCTCTCCGACTTCTCAAATGATAGATGCAAACAGCAATGAGAGAACAGCATTCTTCTCTTGGTTAGAACTTCTGGGTCATAGACGGTTTGTGCAGACGTGACGTCGTCAGTCCCGCTGCAGGGACACATGCACACAGGAGGCAGTGCGTCTGCAGCCAGCAGTCCAAGAAGTGTCTGGGCCAGGCGCTGCAGGCTGCATGCTCGCTGTCTTGGGAGGGGCAGCGAGTTGCAGCTGCGAGGGAGGAGGGGCTGCTGGGCCCATGCTGGGGCAGGAAGGAGATGCGGGACGCACGTGCACCTGAGCTCACAGTGGGTGGTTCAGAAGATGCCCTCCCAGTGCTCAGCGGGGGGCCTCAACAAAAATAACTTTTAATTTGAGTAAATAGAGCCAGAGGTCCCCCCCCCCCCCCCCCCCCCGCCGCCAGAGGCTGCACTAATTTATTCTCCCACCAAACATTTGGGAGCATGGGGCCATCCCTTCAAAAGAGCTTTAAGTCACTCAGGTATGTGACCCTGAACTCACTCCCTCATTTAAAAAAAAGGGGATCAGGACCCTGCCTTGAACAAACAAAAACATCAATCTATTCAGGGCAGATGACTGTGTCTCCCCCTCCCAAACACCTCTGGACCCCTCAGGAAGGGAGCCCCACCTTCGACCACGGGGCCTTTGGTTGTGGGGTTCCCTGTCACCCCCAGCGGCACAGCCTGGAGGGACAGGGCCACCAAGTACATGTAATTAGGCCATGGGTTTTCGCTGTCTCAGCTACCCAGCTTCACAAAACTGCTCTCAACATGCCAGCCAGCCCAGGATAAGCAGCATCACTGTGCAGCGATGTGACAGAAACTCAGCCAAAACCACAGAAATCTGCCTTTTGGGGAGCCGGGCCAGCCCTCCTTCTCCCAGAGGGGGACACGCTGCTCTCAGATTCCACAGGTGCCCGGCCAGAGACGTGGCAGACCGGGTATCCTGACCATCCAGACTCTCAGGCAGACCACCAGAGCATGTGGGCCTTGCAGAAGGCTTGCCCGACACACGGTGGCACCTGTGGTCTCAGACTCACACACACCTGGACATCTGCTCCTCTCTTCCTAGTTTCTTCACGTGCGTAAGCCTTCCCATCCCATCTGTAATGACAAGACCTGCTGCACAGCCAGTGCAGGGACAGACGGCCCGGCTGCACAGAAGGGGGACCAGTGGCTGCACCATCCCTAGCACGGTGCTTCGTAAGAGTGATACTTGCATTCAAACGAAGGTGGCTGGTTTTGAAATGAATAAAATGGCACCTGACGGGCGACACCAGCCTGACCCCTCCACCTCCAGAACCCGAATATAAAGCGGAGCCCAGCACTTCCTGTGGTCTGCTGCCTCTGTGGCCTGGGTGCAAGAGGACCACATTCTCCTTGTGGTGGAAGGCATTCATTTCAACACCAAGCCTGTGGTTTCGGGGGTTTTCAAGGTTATATTTTTAAGTGATGGACATTCACATTGCATTTATGAACACTGCATTCAAATCTAAACGCTATATGCTTAAACCTACATCCATATTAGGAAGTAAAACACCATCTCAAAAATGCCATCTGGAGGGATAACGCTTGCTACCCCAGGTCCAAAGTTGACTCCACTGACTTGAGCTGGTCTTGAAGAGGGCGCTGGGGCATGGGCCCTCTCGTCCTAGAGGTCACCTCCCAGGGCCCCCCCAATGCCCGCTGGTGGCACTGCTGCTCCTGGGCCCCACCTGGGCCCCAGCACAAACATCTCCCCTCTGTGGGCTGCGCTTCCACAGCTCCGCGTAGAACAGCTCTGACTTCTCACCCCTTCCCTTTCCGGCAAAGTCTTCAGCACCCTTGAAACCTGGCTCACTGTCTCCCCTGCCTACCAGAAGGTGGCTGCTCACAGGGCCTTCCAAGCGCCTGGCCCTCCGCTGTCACCCCCGGCCCCAGACCCGCCGGCCCGCAGGAAGGGGGCGAGCCCCCGATGTGCACAGGTGCACCCCAGAGTCGGCTGGCCCTCCGCTGTCACCGCCCGTCCCCCCGCAGAAGGGGGCCAGGCCCCCACGTGCGCAGGTGCACCCCACACCCGGCTTGGCCCTCCGCTGTCACCCCCGGCCCCAGACCCGCCGGCCCGCAGGAAGGGGGCCAGGCCCCCACGTACACAGGTGCACCCCACACCCGGCTTGGCCCTCCGCTGTCACCCCCGGCCCCAGACCCGCCGGCCCGCAGGAAGGGGGCGAGCCCCCGATGTGCGCAGGTGCACCCCACACTCGGGCGCACGGCAGGCCCGAGCGGAACACAAATGACTTCATTGCAGGCGTGGGACGGGAAGCGCCCCGGTAACGGGTAAGGGTAACGGGGCTGAGGGCGGACCGCCCGCCCCCCGGCCGCACAGCCCCCCGGCGCCGCGCCTCGGGCGGGGTCACTGCACTTAGCACAGCACGTGACACAGGCCACCTGCGGCCCCTGGGGCGGGGCGGGGTGCCCTTCGCGGGGACCCCTGTCGGGGCCCCGGGGGCGGCGGGCTCTACCTCGGCCGGCGGGGCACTCGCTCCTCCTCCTCCCGTGCGCGCCCCTCCTCGCGCTCCTCCGCGGGCCAGTCCGGAACCGGAAGTGCGGCTGCGCGCGCACCCCGCGTCCGGGCCCGAGCGCGTCCCCCGGCGCGTGCCGCTCCGCGACGGCAGGTTCCGGGCGCCGCCGGGCCGGGGTGTTGGCTCCGGTGTGGCCTCGCTGCCCCGCGCCCCGGTCCCGCGCGGGGCTGCCGCCGCGTCGCCACAGTCCGCTCTGGCCTGCGGTGCGGGCGGGCCTCCTGGGAGGACGGCGCTGCCCTGGGGCGCGCAGCCTGGAGCAAACCCTCCGGACTCGGGGGACGGAAAGACCGAGCGATGCGAAGGGCAGAGGAACGACAGGGAAACGGGCGCAAGCAGGAGGTCCTATTCGGAAAAGAGCGCGGCCTCGGGAGGGAGAGAGGAAATAAAGAGAGACCGAGGAGAACCAGCAGGGCTACGGCTGGCTCCTGGGTGGAGGGCCGCAGAAGGCCTGGGTCGGGGAGGGCGCCGGGGCCGCAGCGGCTCGGCGGGCACAGAGCGTGCGCACGCCAGATGCGAACTACAGCCCGGACAGCTCACTTGCGTGTTGGAGAGTCAGACACTTTCCCTGTTAGGCGCTGAATGGGGGTGTCCCCTAGAATTCTCAGGCTGGAACCTAACCCCCCATGTGATGCTATCAGCAGGTGGACCTCTGGGAGGTGCTCAGGCCATGAGGGACCTTCCTGCCTTGACAACAGGGGCCCGAGGGAGCTCCCTGGCCCTCTGGCTGCGCAAGGACGCAGCCACACCGTTAACCAGCAAGCAGGTCCTCACCAGACAGAGTCCGCCCGAGCGCTGGTCTCCCACTTCCAGCCTCCAGGACTGTCAGTTACAGCGGACTCTGGGCTCAGTCCTACAGACTCCTTCTTCCTTCCCAGCTCACATCCAGTCCTGCTCTGTTCTCCAAAATCCCTCAGGAGCCAGCCACCCCGGGGGGCCCTGGAAACCCTTACTTTACTCCAGATGACTGAGCCCCGGCTGGTCCCCCTGCCGCCTGCTTCCCATGGAAGCCTGAGTCAGAGAGCCCAGCTTCCCTGCTGGCCCCGCTCCTGTTCCTGGGGACCCCACCTCACAGGTGGGAGCGGCCATCCCTGGGAAGACGAACCTGGCAGATTATCTGGTGCGTGTACTCGAGATCTGAACAATCGAGGGAGAGTTTGGGCCTAGAAGAGGGACAATCCCATAGAAAAGGGATCAAGAGAAAGGGTGACGATTCATACAGACAACACCGGAAGATGTGCAGCCAAGACAGAGAGATCATGTTGTTTTAGAAATCTGTTCCCCACAGCACTTACAGACTCACAGCCGCAGAAACATTTACAAGGTACCCACTCCCTGCAAACATTGATGTTGACCTAACCAAGTCTACGGCCAGGTCTCGGAGGGAGGGATGGGATGCAGGAAGGGTGCGCCTGGAGGGCCGGGTGTGGAGGGAGTGAGCAGGGAGTGTCCACCGCAGGGGCAGACAGTGACAGGGACACAGGTGGAGGCTGTTCAGGCACATGGAGGAACTTAGCGTCACCTCTGGGCAGAAAGGGGGAGGGTTTCTGCGTATAACTGTGATAAGTAGACTATAAAATCATTTTTTAAAGGGGGAGGGAACAAGGAAGCACTTCATGTAAACTTTATGGCTCTTCTGACCCCGTGGGAGCCCCTGCCCAGCATCGCCGTGGTGGGTGGCTGTATTCTTGCCTCTGGCCCTGAAATGTACCAAAGGGACCTCCAAGTGAGGGTGCCCACCAGGCACAGTAAATCATCATTGCCCCCCAGTGCTTCCATGGCCTTCCACGGGCCTCGTGGCAGTTCACGAGACGGCCGGGTGGGTGTCTGTGGAGATGCCCACGTACTCCCAGGCGTGTTCCAGACACATGGATGTAGAGCCCCGCCTTCCTGTAGCTCACGGGCTTGCTGTACGGCAGGGGGGCAGGGAGTGAGTGGTGAGTACATGGACACATGAACAAGGCACATGCCATATGAGGTCATGGACTGAATGTTTGTGTCCCCCCAGAGTTCAGATGTTAAGTGGGGTCTTGGCAAGGCAGTTAGGATAGATGAGGGCGTGAGGCAGAGCCCCCTGATGAATCCCGGGAGAGCTTGCCTCTGTTTTGTGCTGCGTGAGGGCAAGCAGGTGACATCTCCTGGCCAGGACGCTGGCTCTCGGCAGACTCTGGCCCTGCTGGTGCCCTGGTGTAGGCCTTGCATCCTGCAGGACTGTGAGAAGCCAGTGGTTGCTGTTTATAAGGCCCCAGAGTGTGGCATTTTGTTATAGCCGCCAAAGCTGGCCGAGGCCGACAGTAAGTGCTCTGAAGAAGAATCAAGCCTGGCAAGGTGGCCTCGAAGGCTTTCAAAACAGAGGCCCTGGGACCGCTCTGAGGAGGTGCTTCCGGGCAGGGGTCCGAGGGCAGCGAGGCGAGGAGCTATGTGAACGTCTGGCAAAGGGCTGCACCGTCCTTGTCTCACGGATGAGGAAATAGGCTCAGAGAAGTCACGGCATCTGTCCACACTCACACGCCTACCACATGACGGAGCTGGGATTTCAAACACAGAAGCCACGGCCTGCCCGCCTGCTGCATGCCCACCTTGTCTGTGAGGCTGACAAACAACCAGACACACATGTCGCTCTGCTTCCGATCAGACTCTGCCCCACATAATGCCAGACCAATAACCTCCATAAAGAATGAGTCGTCCCCACAAGCTGTGTCCTCAGAGAGGCTCATGGCCGTGCTACTCCCCACCGCCACAAGCCAGGAAACACCTCACATGTCCTACAGCAGGCCTGGCAAATTAGAGGAGCGAAAGGGTAAGAGGGAAGCCATACAGAATCCTAGAACTGCTTACAACAATCTATGATTGAATGAAAATGGCATGAGAGTACTTTCTGGGGCGCCTTGGGTGGCTCCATCAGTGAAGTGTCCGACTCTTGATTTTGGTTTAGGTCATGATCTCAGGGTCATGAGATTGAGCCCTGTGTCAGGCTCCGCACCCAGTGCAGAATCTGCTTGACAGACTCTCTCTCTCTGCCCCTCCCCCCGCTCATGCCCTCTCTAAATAAAATCTTTTTAAAAAATTAAAAACTACTTTCTTAAATCTGAGCAGTCTCCGTCCGAGCCCCAGGCCGTTCCAGAGTGGGCTCGGTGCCAGCCAGCCCACGGCACAAACGTCGTGTGCTTGTACCCTCCCTGCCGCCCACTGGCCCCTCTGGGCCTCGGTCCCCTTTCCCCAAGTGCAAGAAGAGGGACCGCATGGTCCTGTGCCCTGCCAGGGCCCTTCCTGTGCAAGACTCTATCCGGTCCCTCCGGAACCTCTGCCCCTGGATTCCCGCACTCGGGAGAGAGTATAGGGGCCGGGCACCCCCGACACCCTTTGTCGCCACAGCCACAGGGTCAGGCTGGTCCTTGGCCCAACACGATGGCATCCACAGAGGCGGCATGCAGGGATAGCTGGGCTCCTGGTAAACTGGACGGAGACAGGTAGGACGAGATGGCAATGACAGAGAGTGACAAGTGATATGGGTAGTACACTGAGCCCTCAGCCTGAGTCAGCACAGGCCAAGTGACTCCACAAAATCCTCCCATGTGGACTTCTCAAGGATCTCCCTCCTTTACAGTCAAGAAGAGTGGAGCGGGGCAGGGGGGAGACACGTGGAGTGGGCAGCAGGCAGATGTTCCTTGTACAGGAGACACATAGGCACCACCGCATTAAAGTACAGTCAGGCCCCTGATGCTCTGAGTTCCTGCTCAGCCACTAATTGGTGGTGGAGCTTCAAGCTAGCTATTTATTCTCTCATGATGCCTCACTGTCCTCATCTGTATCTAGAAATGATCAGTAGCTAATTGTGAGAATTGAATGAGTGAATATGTACAAACTGCTGCCAACCATGCAGTAGGTGCTGTTAGATATCATCACTACCACCATCACGATCATCACTACCACCACCATCAGCACCATCATCACCATCATCATCATCACCATCATCACCATTATCACTACCACCACCATCACCACCATCATCACCATCATCACCATCATCACTACCACCACCATCACCATCACCATCATCATCATCACCATCATCACTGCCACCACCACCGCCACCACCATCACCACCATCATTTCACCATCATCACCACCATCCTTTCACCATCATCACCATCACCATCACCACCATCACTACCACCATCATCACCATCATCATCACCATCACCACCATCACCATCATCATTACCATCCATCACCATCATTACCACCATCACCATCACCATCATCACCATCACCATTAGCCCCACCATCATCACCACCATCACCACCATCA